CTTACTTTTTTGGGTTGTGCGCGCTTTGGTGGATCGCCGATGAAGAGATGAGAGGACGACGGCGACAAAGATTTGTCTCTTGGTGGCTAGTTGGGGTGTCGCGAGAACTACTACCCGAGGATTTATGATTGATGACTTTTGTCTAGCCGTTGGGCGAGTCGTTTGTCTCGGGGCTTAAGCGACGAGATGTTTTAGCTGAACTCTAAGTGGCCGGGATATCCGAGTTGGCGCGATGATGTATGGACAAATGAAAGGATCGGGGAATATCGCGGGTCACTTTTATTTCTTCTTCTTTTTTTTTTCTTTTTTCTCTAAAGAGTCACGATTGCATTCCATAAAAGCAGCTTAATGTAACATGTATAGTGCATAAGGACAAAAGCCCGTGTTTGGTGTCATCGCGATAAATTCAACCCATGTACGTATACGACCTCGAACGGGCAGACTAAACATTTTAAGCACAACTCCGCTCGCGCCACTTTTTGCCGTCGGCGAACAATATGTGCGCCCAACACCACCGAAAAAAAGGGCGTCGTTTCTATATTCGTACGTCATCAGCGATTAATCATCGGAACCAGCGTGCAGAAACCGTTGATCCAACATCCGATGCAGCGGGCCTTTCGATTCTTGCTGTAATATATGACGATTCCTCACAAAAAACACGGCCAGCCGGGGAGACAAAGCAACCCTGACAGCGAGAAAAGGGGGCGTTTAATGCGGGCAACAAAAAAAAAAAAAAAAAAAAAAAAAAAAAGGGTCCACCATAGAGAGAGAGAGAGCGAGCACATACTGTCAAAATCCTAAGACGGAAGACCCTTATTTATTGCCCGCGTCTGGAGAGTCTCGGCGCTCTTGTTTCTCGGCCCGCCCCCGACGCTGCAAAAGGTCTCTCCTTTCTTTATCCACCAAACGCGACAAAGTCCCACTTTTTTCCCTTTATTTTTGCACCGCGCGTTATAAATATCCACGATTCGTGTTACATTGTTGATCGCAGCCAAAATTAAACTTCAGCCGGTCTGCCTTGACTCGACGTATAATACTCTCTGGCCACGTGATAGGTGAAAGACACGCCGAGACGACGACGAAGCTCCGTATCCCCGCAGTTCGCGCCGTTATGCAACCGACTGTCCGCAACGCCCGGTTCATGCGAAACTCTGTGGCAAACTTGGATGCCGCGGGACGTCGGGGAAATTCGCGCTGACGGGCGCTGTCTCGGCCTAAACGCGCATGTTTCAAACAAAATCATCATTTTGGTCCCATCCGAAAGACGCAGCACCCGAGATCAAAACAACAATCCCACCGATCGAAATTCTCTCGCTCGACCTATTGGAAAACGCGTGCCACTTTCTTGTTGCGAAACAATGCCACGAAAGTGAAATTATCGCTGACCTTAACGATCCCAGCTTACGCGGGCGAGCAAACATAAATACACAAGCCGATGACGCGCAGGGGGGGGGGGATTCTCAACGAAGGGGGTGTATTCGAATAAACGGTTCGTTGCACCTCTTAAACGATCGCGCCCACGACACCAGCACCCGCTACTTTGGTACATTTTATATCTATACGTATATGGGGTCGTAAGACAAACAGCCGGCGATGGAGGGGGGGGGGGTACATTACGAGAGGCCTTGGAAGTGCGGGCGGGCGCTTGCCAGAAAGCTCGAGTGACGAAGCGCTCTTGTTTGCGAAGCTGGACCGCATCTATCCGCGAGCGCGCGTAGGTGTGTACAAATATATACATGTGCGCGTGCGAAAATTAGCCCGGTGATTAATTTACGCGCGAGTGTGCGCTTATGAGTCGGGGATGGGGGTGGGGGGGGGTTTATTTATACATAATTTTTAATTTAGTAGAACGCGTGTGTGTATCGAGAGCACGGATCAATCAACGGGTATATGAATTATTCAGAGCGGTGCATCGGTGGTCTACTTTTCTCGATCGATCGGACGAAATTCCACAACCTCCGTCCTCATACGATCCCACGTATATATAAATAATATACTTGTAAGTGTTCGATCATCCGAGCAGTGGCAGCTGAGGGACAACGATCTCGCGTGTAATTATATACGTATATGTACCCAAAATAAAAAAAAAGAAAAAAAAGAAAAGGAAATGTTCGTATGGAGATAGTTCCAAGTAGTTGCAGTCCGCGTTGGTCAGCCGCGCGTGAAAATAGTAGTCAAGTGTACCTAAATAAGCAAGTAGGTGGTGTGAATATACCATGGGCCCCGGCGATTCGTCACGCACACCCACTGCTCGCGTCGCTCCTCATCACGGGAGGGCCATTCTTGCCCGAGTCCAAGAATGAAGCCTCTGCTCTATGAATAATCGCCCCCTTCTCTCACGCCTTCGTTATAATCAGTCGGTGTGTAGCCCGCACGTCGCTCGAATTTTCCTCGCCACGGCTCAACCCCTCATTGTTCCTTTTTCTCCCTCCCTCTCTCTCTCTCTCACGTGTGCCCGGGCCGACCGACTGCTCCTGTTACACGCGCTCCATGCGTATAAATACATTTTTCGACTGGACGCGCCTGTCGTTCTATTAATACACCCCATGCGGGAGCAAAAGTCGCGTATCGTCCTTACCCCCTCCGATTAGTGAAAAAAGATGTGCCAAAAAAAAACAAAAACTCGGTACGAAAAACCACCTGTTAAAATACGCAAAACGGGCTGATCTTGTATATGTACAACGCGTATACGTATGTATTTGTATATGAGTGGCTCAAGTTAAATATTTACCCAAAATATGTATACACACAAAAGACAAGATAGTATACATTCATGCCAGCAGTGCCCCCGTCCTTCTCAGTGATGACTTTACATTCATAACGCACGAGCAGTATAGCTATACCTCCGAGAGAACTCTCGGCACATGTCGCCTCATTGTTCGTTCCATATACCTATACGCACATCATAGAGAGAGAGACTTGGCGTTATTCTCGTCAAATTATTATTACCAAGCGCACGTGTTATATGAGCTTTCTCATCGCGTCTCTCTTTCAGCTCTCGGAGATACCTACACCCTGTACGCCACATCCATAGACCCCGAGTTGACTATATTATATATATATGTATACAGTCGCGATGGGTTTCCGCCCGCAATTCAGAGACACGGAGCGTCACTCGGTCAGCTCTCATTAATGGGCAGGAGAGACGAGCGTGTGGCTTCCTCTATACCAACGCACGGGCTCTGGTATATAGGATGGACAGACGAAACCCGACTAGGGTACCTTATACTGTTATTACGAGCATTTGCGCGAGGTGAAACGTGGGAGGGAGGCGCAGAGGAGGGACTGCTCGTATAACGGCATTTGGCAAAGCTTGTGGGTCCTTTTGCTATTTCGAAACAGCGCGGGCCCTTGTATATACCCCGCTCCGGCTTGACACTTTCGCGCGTCGCTGAATTCTATTTTTTTTTTTTTTTCTTTGCTCCTTTCTTTGCTCCTCCACTGTCCAACTGCTACTACCTTCCTACTGTAGCTGTTGTTGTTGTGCTCTCGTTGTTGCTTCTTATATACATATATGTATAACGGTGGCAATTAAGCGGACGCGGCAAATCACGCTCCGTACGGATATTATATATGTTTGTGTTATATGACGCGCCGTGTATTACACGCGTGGGGTACTGCAGTTGTATATATATATATATATGGCGTTGGGTGGTGTCGTTAGTTGTTGTTGTTTTTTTTTTTTTATATATGACTCTCGCAACGCTTCGTGTACACCTACCGCGTGAATAATGAATTGCACAGAGCTCTCGGGGGCGAGCTGCCGCGCGATGGATCACTTTTGAAAGGTGCTGAGCCTTGATGCGCGCTTTCTCCGTCTCTCTTCGCTTCGGCTTTGGTGCAGCTTTCGCGAGTATAAGGTATACACACCAGAGCCTTTTTGTTGTTTGGGTTATTGGTTTTGGAACGAGATTGCAGCGCGTGGTGTTGATTTTTCACTACGTTGTTTAATAATCATTTTACATGATGAAAAAACGGTTACGTTTTTTTTTTTTTTTGTTTTTTTTTTGTGGGAAATTCCGTCCTCTCCCGCGCGAGAGAGGAGCCAATTTTTTGCTCCCCGCGCGTTCCTGCGCCGCGGGGGAATTTCGTGCATTCTTCAAAAGCCGGGGGGCTTATTTTTAAGCTCATCCTCTAAGCACCGCCAAAAATGCAAAACAAGAATTTGTTCGGATGATGCAGGCGGAAGGTTGGTCGGGGTGGAGCGGATGTTGGGCGAGTAGCGCGAGCGAGCTTGCGGTTAATGTAATGGAAAACAAAAAAAAACAAAAAAAAACAAAAAAATTGACTTTGGGCGCTTAAGGGCGTGGGAGAGGTATTTCGTAAATTCTTCTAGGAAGTTTGCACGTGATTCGACATCAGAAATGGTGTGCAATGGTGTGGGGTGCATCAAGGAGGCAACCAAAAAAGTGTCGCTTTTGCGGGGACGCGTAACAGGATGTTTTTAGAGGTCGTTGCTGTAATACGTATGTCGAATTGAGCGTTACTCTCTCGTTTGGATCTTGTGACAAAAATGAGAACGAAACTCTTTTTTTTTTTTTTTTTTTTTTTTTTTTTTTTTTTTTTTTTTTTTTTTTTGGCAAAAAATCGAATTGGCGAAAAAGAAACGCGATTGGCGTGTACAAAAACTCTTATGGAATACAATTTGCACCTTGTAGTATCGACTGGCAAACTGCAGTCTTGTACCGCGTATAACATTCACGACGATGCTCGTACGTGGGTTCGATTTAAGCGGCTCTCCAAAAGAGTAATGTTGAAAAACTTTAAACGACTTTTAATAACTCTAAATATGGGTGAAAAAGGTTCTATCTAGTTCCAATGATGGCAAAAATTCACATTTACATAAGACAATTTTACATTACCCCTTTGTGCGTACTTTTATGTTTTAGTCCTGAATTTTTTGCAAATAGCCCTCCTTTTCACAATACCTAGTATACTACACTTTAGTATAGTCTTTCCGAAAAACTAGCGAAACCATGTATGGTTGAAAAATTGCCAAAATGATGGACTCAATGTCCACTATCAACAGTGGAGAAAATACACGACAGAAGCTTGCAAGCACACCCAAACGGTGTGAATGAAATTTTCATGCATCAGGAAGAGCAAAAAGTAACATATTTCACATGTGATGTATACCCCAATAACCCACGCCCAGATCCCTCAAGCCAAACCCCAGAGCACAAAGAGTGGGTGCACATAATATATATATATATGCCTCGATCGTCGCTCGGCGTAAAATTAGCAGGGCTTACGCTGCACACACGACACCCGAGACGAGAGAGATCACGCGGAAGAGGACGGAGGCGTTCTCGGCTGCATCTTCAACGCGATAATCCGGCGTTTCCGTAAGTAGGTACATACACACCCACACACCGAGTCACGCTACTTGCCCATCGGAGATTATTCACGCCGGCTGTCCGCCCCCGCCACATCCACGAGTGCGACAGATAATTATTGGACAGTAAAAATTCTTTATTCGTAGCAAATAATAACAATGTACATTAATGTGTTACTAAGCAATTTAATAACCCCATGAAAATATATATTGTTCTACAAATGTCATGGTACGACTTATACTCACAAAGGGTGGAGGGGGTTAAAAGGGGTACACGTAAAAATAATCATACTTACGTAAAAGTAATAGTAATTTCTGAAATGTTTCTAATTTTTTTTTGAGCGTCAGCTCTTCTATTGTTTTATTCTCTGTATCATTTAACTGGCTTTCCCCGTAGGTTTACAACTTTTGACACTGGTGGGGTGCACTACATACATCCTTGTCGGGTCAAATACTTTTGCGCTCCTGCATGTAAGTATATAGTACGAGCAATGTTGTTCTTGCAGCGTATTTCTTCTTTATTGTTACAATGGTATACCTGCTCATGATAATTCAACAAGTGTAGTGCGGGTGGTCGGTGGTACAAATCACCCAATAAACCCCACTCCACCCGCGCACCAACATCCAACAAGTCTCGAGTCACTTTTCGAGAGCATAATATTGTATAAGCGCCGTATGATGGTCTTATCTTCCGGGAGAGCAGGTGAAAGACGAGATTGGCAGCGGGTGAATTTCTCGGAAGGAGTCGAGAGATCGCATGTGTATAATGCGCGCAGAAGAAGAGCTCGTTCGAGTGGTGGGTTTTGCGCGCGGGGAGATGATGTTAAAAATAAATTGAGGAATTTCATTCTTGGGGAGCGGAAAGGGCGAGAGAGAAGGCGTTCGTTTTACAATAGAATGAGTAGGTAGTAGGATATGGTGTGGAGTAGCAGTGGGACACTCTCTCTCTCTCTTAGTTGTGTATATATATATGTATGTACAATGGGAGAGGTGACGATGAATAAAGAACAGCTGGTCGCGTCGGTGCGTTGACTTGAATTTCTGCATGCATCGAACAACTTATTTTTAGCGGGAAAAAATGTACTTATTCTTTTCTTTTGTTTTTCCTTTCGTAGCGTAGGTAATGCAGGGCGTATATAGGTATATAATTACATCGCTCGGTGGGTACTCCGTTGTTTTGTTTGTATTATGTAGAGTTACGCTACAAACCAGAGACCTCGACAAAAGCAACGGAGTTGAGAAAAAAACATGCTGCGATCCCTACTTTCGAAGCGTAAGTTTTCTACCCTTTTTGACTCTGTATTTTATCGTGTGTGTGTCCAGCGTACGCGCAGTTCTTAGGTATGTTACTTTTAATTTTTTTTCTCGCATCCAAGCTTTGCATAACCTAAAATTGCTATCCTCTCTGAGATGCCTCTCGCACTGGTTGCAACGCCAGGAAGCTCGCCTGCAAAGGTACTTTGGAAACCCCAGCCCCAGGTGGCAAGGAACGCCCCGAGCCCTACAGTCCCTTCCAGAACACGTCGAACGCGGCAGAGTACGCCCTAGCTAGGTTGGACGACCTGCTCAACTGGGGAAGGAAGGGTAAGGATTGACATTTGTATAAATCGATTTACAATTCATGAAATCCTTAAAACTGTCGGTGTCGCACAGGTGCCCTTTGGCCCCTGACGTTCGGCCTTGCGTGCTGCGCCGTGGAGATGATGCACATGGCAGCTCCGCGGTACGACATGGACAGGTTCGGGGTCGTCTTCAGAGCGTCACCGCGGCAGACAGATGTCATGATCGTCGCAGGTACGCTGACCAACAAAATGGCACCGGCCCTCAGGAAGGTCTACGACCAGATGCCCGAGCCCAAGTGGGTCATATCGATGGGAAGCTGCGCGAACGGAGGAGGCTACTATCACTACAGTTATTCAGTTGTTAGAGGGTGCGATAGGATCGTACCTGTTGACGTTTACGTGCCTGGTGAGGGTTGTTTTTTTTTTTTTTTTTTTTTTTTCCATTTATTTCTATTCCTGCTTACGTTTGGTGTAATGTTTGTTTGTTTATTCGCGTAGGGTGTCCACCGACTGCGGAAGCTCTGCTCTATGGGGTTTTGCAGCTGCAAAAGAAGGTCAAGCGCATGCAAACTACTCAGGTGTGGTACAGGAAGTGATGAACCCTTTTTTTGTTCGAGTGATGTGCTCGTCGATTTCTGTACAAAAAAGCTTCTGTTCAATAACAACTTTTCTCAAAAAAAAAAAAAAAAAAACTTTTCCTCCATTCATTTTTAGCTTCATTCCTCGGATCACCTGAAAAAAATCAAGAAATTGTGAGCAATCACAGAAATTGTCGATGATTAACTCTCTCGCTAGTCTTGACAGTAGCTCCGGTACATAATACGTTGGTGCTCGTGTTGTCGTTTCGGTCCCCTCCGTTTCCACGCGTGTTTTCTAATAGTTGTAATAATAAGCTCGGCGACACCGCCTGCCCTTCTCCCTTTGAAAGAGGGTGAAAAAAAAAAAAAAAACAAAAGGCGAGATGGAAGTACCTCCGGGAGATAAGGCATTCTTGATGCTTTCCAGAGACTCACAAGTAACAAGTAAATCGAAATTCGGCCCCCATGAAGGGTCGAAAAAAAAAAAAAAAAAAACCCTTCGGGGGCAGAACAAAATTCACGCACTGTCGCGCGTAGACAACAACTCAATCCGCCGGTTTTGTTGTCCCAAGTAAAAAACGAAGATATCTCCATTTCGAATGGGGCAAACGACGCGTGGCACCGGCAAATAAACATCATCGCATTCGGAAACCGTTCAAACGGGCCCAACTCGCGTCTCACGCTCAATTGCCCGAGACAAATCGGCACGCGCTCCATTCTCCCTCGCAAAGATCGGTATTACATGTATACGTATATATGCATGTGTACACGGTGCACAATTAAACGTCAGCCCCGCGCCGCAACGGAAGAAAAGACTCGGAGCGTGGCGGATAAGAAGAAGCAGCTCCCTCGTTTCCACCTGCGCCTACGACTCCTCTCTATACGGGCAGTGCGAACAGTCTATTCCTCGACCACGACGACGATGCAAGAGAGAGAGAGAGAACGGCGGAGCGAGCGCTGAATAACCGATTCTAAAATTGCAATTTACGATTCTAATAATAAATCCGGGCTGTATGTACCGCTCTGCTGGCCGCTGCCGAGTGGAGACTCGTGTTAAATCTAAATCATGACGACGCGCCGTATCGTTCGCGCCACGCACCTACTTACTCGCCCTGCAGTTTTCTTCAAAAACCCTTGCCAGCCCCCATTGTGTTATTCGATGATGAGCTTTTGCTTGCTCTCCGGAAGCGATTTCGCGTGTCGGGGGCTTCCACGAAATCGCAAGTGCGTGCGCGAGTTCTCTCTCACACCCCATTCTTCCTTTTTTTTTTTTTTTTTTTCTTTTT